CAAAATTTTGGTAACATCATGCATTTATTTACATCTTCTTGGCCAAACCAGTTGTTTCTAAAGCATTTTAGTATATGAACTGAATCAAATATGAAGAAAAAGGTTTAGATTCCATAACTGGATGTGGATGAAAATTAAATTGAAAGTTTTGCAAGACTACAAAAGGAAGATATAGCTTTCTTATTTATCGCATTATTATCTGTTATGACTTATATTACTCTAAAGCCTATCTCTTTTAGACCAATTATGATACATTTAAGTATGTCAAATTAATTCTCAGCTTTAAGACGTATAGTTAGCATAATAGACACAACATCCGTGTAGCGTGAAAATACAATGCTAAACATAAAAGCAAAAGCACTTGTTGCAGACTCATTGCTGTTGTCAGCTAAGCCAACAACATTACCACCTTTATAATCAAAATAAGGTTTTAGGTGAATTTCATCTACAAGATACTATAATGTCTTTTTCCTCTAGTAACTTAAACTTATTTTTAATATAGATAAGAAAATTGTTATCATGTTGTTCAACTATAGGATACATATAGGTTGATATGTTTAGTCTTCAGATGGCTGAATAACTAGGGAAAATGTATATATTTTGGTATCTCTTAACAGCCTATACTATAACCTCCAGGGGAGAAGTTTTACAACAATAAAGAAAATCACTATTTCTGCTTAATATTTAATGTTTGTGTCATTAATTTTAGCTGTTCATATATAAATTTAACTGCATAAAATTATCTAAATGACTCGTCTTGCACTAATAACAGAAAGGACATTATCAAATATAAAAGAGCAATCACACTTTGAGGTTTTGTTTGACATTCTTTTATGTCCATTTTTTCATATCTTCAATAATAATGATCAGGAATATGATACTTCCCTATAGTATTAATTTCCATGTCACCATAGAACACATGTACTTCAAAATTAGGTTCAATTATAACAGATTGACTGATTTTTGGATATGGAGACTTGGTAATGCAACATATAATAAAAAGAGTCTCTTGCTGTCTCACTAAATCCCAGTAATTTCTATCGAGAAAATTTAATTTTCCCTCTATATCATCAATACTCTGAAATTTCTTCTGCTGTTTGTATTTCAAGTCATCAACAATACTTTTATCTAAAGCTCTTCTAAGAGTAGAATTCTCTAGTTGAATTTTTCTAGACTCTGGTGACTCTCTAGAGAGGCTTAATGGAACTAAATACGAGGGACGGTTTGGTAAAATTCTAGAGACTGTACCTACATGAAGAATTGCTAACACTAATTGTAGTACTAGTTTTCTTATGGAATGCTGGTGTTTCTCGACTTATGTCCTCAGCACGAAAATACAGTTCACATACTTAAAAAAAATGGATTAAAAGGGCAATTACACCCTATTTTAAAAGTAAAACGCTTGTAGTTTATACTACATATAGTGACGTCATCACATTATCCCTGCCTTTCCATTACCTTAAAAATAGTGTTGTATCAAATTATACCTTACCTTGAAAACCACTATCAAATGTTGCCTTGCCGGTTAAACAGCAGAGAGTATAGCCCCGAACGCAAAGTATACCAGGGATTATTTTAGGCTAGGCTGTTATATATTTGGGGTATGAGATAGGTTAGGCCAGTTTAAAAGCCGGGTATAAAACGGAGTTTGCCTAGAATATTCCTATCTAAACCAGAATATACCCGTTCCTTTTCCCGTGTAATACGATGAATATTATTGTAGCTAGTGATGGCATCCTATTTGTTCGCATCAGTTCCCGCGAATTGATTCTTAAAATTTTAAAAGCTTAGCGAACCGGTTGTTGGGTTATCTGAAAATAATCTTATATATTAATAGCCGATATATAATAGCTAAAAATATAATTGCTGTAAGTTCTGCGTTGGCTGAAAGATGGTTTTCTGCAATGAAATCATCTTGAAGTTAAAAATGTAGCAAATTATCTAGTCATAAATTTGATAGCTCTTCCATTGGATGTTTGGGACGGCAGTGATTCAGTTAGAATGCGGCTAAGAAACCATAATACAGCTGATGACACTAGAGTCAAAAAGCATCAAACTTCGGAACAGAAATATGATGAGAACAGAAATTCAATCTAGAAATATCTTAACAAATAAATGTTTTCTATTAAATTATTAAAATAGTTTAATTCCTTTTGATACTATAAAGTTATCTGTTTTATTCTCAGATTGAACAAAAAATAAGCAGAACAGTTTCCTAAACATTACCAGCCTTTATAGAACCGGTTCCTGGAAATTTGTAGCCATAAATGTTAGTCAAGGATATTACGGCTCATGCCTTGTCACATGTCAGCTGAGATTTCGTGTGTGCATTCTACAGCCCTCAATTATATTTACATTACTTACATGCGGGCAAATATCGTCATCAATGTTGTTATTATCACCACGTTTCGACCTTCGTATTTTCCGTTCCTCTTCAGGTGCAGTTTGAAATTCCCTGAAGTGAAGTTTATTAGGATCGACAAGATTCTAATAAACTTCGGGGAATTTCAGACTGTACCCTTTATTTAATCTACTGGGTAACATTATTCTCATTCATGTCTCGGGATATCTCGTCTTTTTCTTATTTAACACTGCTCAGTTATTACTCGCCTTTTTTTCCGGGATAAATCTGCAATACTCAACCCAGATATTGATCCGTAATTATTATGTCATCAAATTTAATCCACGAAATTTAATCCACTCCCGTGGACAATTATGGATTACGATAAATTAGTCCTGGTTATATTGTTACACCGGGATTTAAACATTAGGCACAGAAAATAAACATACAACAAAAAAAAAAAGCCACAGATAGCAGCAAAAATACTTATCTAAATTTTCTCTTTTCTTTTATGCGTTTACATCTAGACATTGATAAATCTAAAGTGGCCATATACACACAATCATACGTACATTAGAAATTCAGTCGAATGATTAAACATTTTCTTACAAAATGTATTAACGTATGCTCTGTTCTGCCGAATCCTTTTCAATATTTCTACTAATGAGCTTATGGTATATAGAAATGAAGTAAAGGCCAAATTTATTGTCTACAGTACCATTTATTGTTGACTCCATTTGGTTACAGTGTTTAATATGGTTGACTATCGTCATAGTTCTTTTTTTGTGATTTGAGAGTTCACACAGAGATTGTTGCGTTCCTTCTGGTTGACGGGAATTAATTCGTTGCATTCATCCTTATTTCTTCTTTCTCTTCTGGAGTTGTACGTCAGGTCAAACTCACAGCCGATGAATCACCAACCCTTGCGTCTCGAACTGCTACCTCAATATCAAGTTTCTCTCCACTGCAGCGTCTCTATTCTCGTACGTGGTTTTCTTCTTTTTATTGGGGCTGACACATCCCTGTTTCCCGTTTGATTTTTGGCGGGACGTATTGTCATTGTTTGATTTTTTTATGACGTTCACTGACCCGTATAAACTAAGTCCGGGTTCATATTCGTTACCGAGGATAGGAACAATAGAAGGGAGGAAAGGAAAGGAAATATATAGAAGAGAGAGAGAGAGAGTTTTCTTTGTCACTCAGTAAAGAGGATAGAAATTAAGAAAAATAAACAGAGATAGTAACTCAAACACGTGTATCCAGTAAAAATAGCATTTATAGTAATAAGAAATAAAGTCAGATTAAAAAATCCATTTAAAAATTAATGCTGGAAGTTAAAAAATATTATTATTAACGAATTATTCATTTATTCTTGTGAAATTTGATTAATAATAATAATAATAATAATAATAATAATAATAAATATTCAGTAATAAAGGAAGTCAAAAAGTTCAAAATGGAGTTTCATGTGGGCGAAGAAATAAAATTAAAGCACAATACACCGAGTGAAACTGCATTATACTTAAAAAGAAAGCAAAGGCAGATGCAACCCACAAGGGAGAAAAACGATGGCAAGATAAACCGCTTCACAGTCAATACTCAGCCTGTACCAAACAAGCTGATGTAGACAAACCCCGTACCAATCAGTGGCTACGTAGTACATGGTTAAAAGCTGAAACTGAGGGTTTTATTCTTGATGCACAGAACCAATGCTTTTTAGCTACAAATTATCAAGCACACATACTAAAATATGTTAGCCCAAAATACAGATTCAGTGATAAATATCCAGAAACAATTGATCATCTTGTATCAGGTTGCGCGGTATTGGCACCCATTGAATATAAAACACGGCGCGACAGAGTGGGCCAATACCTGCATTGGAAAATCTGCAACACTTACGGAAAGGAAACTGCCAGAAATTGGTATGAATACTACCCAGACCCGGTAACGGAGTCAGGACCTGTAACAATTTGATGGGACTTAAACTCAGACAGAAGAATCAAAGCTAATCGACCTGACTTCGTGATGAGAGACTGAAAAGACAAAATCTGCTTCCTTATTGACATGGTTGCAGTCCCTGCAGACTGCAATGTATCTTTGAAGATCTTCAAAAAAAACTATCAAAATACAAGACCTTGAAATCGAAATCTCTTACGAAGGGCTTTATCTATGTAAAATATGTGTGATTTTTTTTAATTGCTCAGTTGAAAATGTTATGATGTTATTTCTGACCTTAGGTCTCTGGTCGGGACCCAGAAAGAAATGAGTACACACGAGAAATAAAAGGAAATAATAATAATAATGATAATAATAATAATAATAATAATAATAATAATTGGGATATATTTTCAAAATTCCTTATTCGGGAAGACTGCATAGTCCATAGTCAGAAAGTTCAGATGTTAACTGGAAAATGTTAAAAAGAAGTTGATTTTTCATTTAAAGAGACGACGCTTGCTTTTCTCTAATGTCTCAAATCTGCTGTATTTTTTCAATTTCTGTTTGCTTTCTTTTAGCTAAAATTGAGAAATCGAAATGATTTTACAATGTAAAATGATAGAACATTTTGAATTACTGAGACGGAAGAAAATATTTCTCTATTTCTGCAAATGTTTTGCAACTTGGTCAACGCTCCAATAATTCGGATGTCAATGCAAAAATGGCAAAATGGAAGGCCATAGCAACTCTGTGCTACCTGTTGGGCGCTATTATTGACGGTCAGGCTCAGCACAACATCACTCGAAAGGATGGACACGTCAAGAGGTAAGCATTTCAGAGTTTTTTCCGAACTCGTTACATCGTCTGGCAAGACACATTTGACATCAGGTACATTAAAATGTGTGTATAAAACACATACCCTTATATATGTTCAAAAATACAATAAGAACTGTGGACTTACCATCACTTGATTTACCAATACACCGTTAGGTGGCGCTTTTAAACAACTATAAAAACGTGGCATTTCTTACTCTTTTCCTTCTAGCCATGCGATTAGACTCTAGGCCTAGAATGACTGGACTCTGTAAATTCAACGTTTCTTTACTAGACAGAGAGGACATCCGGTTACAGATGACCAAGTTAGTGCAGCGGTAGTTGGGAATAAGTGGTGGGAGAACCTTAAAGATGGGATTAAGTCTTTCACCACTGAATATAGTCCACGACTCACCCTAGATAAAGCTGCAAATGTGTATATTTTCCTACTATAAGCCCATTTAAATGGGCTAAAGAGTAGTCTGACCCGGGCGGTAGCTGGGCTGGGAGAGAACCCCTAGAGATAGATTTAGTTGGGCTCTGGAGCATTTGGCTAGCGAGCGCTACCGCGATCAGGTAGTTAGATATAGGTTAGAATTGCGCAAGGAGGAAATATGTCGGGATTCCGATCGTTTCATTCGTTGAATCGACACTCCGGATGGACGCAGACTGTGGTCGACCGACGTGTGCGAGGCGTGTCAGCGGCAGTTCCAGAACAGGTTTACCAAGGAACCTGGTCTCTGTGAACAAGAAATCCGCAACTATTTATCGAATCTCGTCGAATGAAGTGGCTATCACAGAGGGCGAAGTCCACGAGGCATTGAAGAGGGCCGGTAGGGGCAAATCTCCAGGACTTGATGGTCTGTTCTACGAATTGTACTTGAGGCAGTCACACATCTTTATTCCAATTTTGACTGTGGTGATCAATAACCGCAGGGGTCTGTCCCATACACAGAGGTAAAGATTTTGGACAACATCCTGGCGAAGCGTTTGCAGTCAGTCACCGAAATTCTGTTGGGACTGGAGCAAACTTGTGCTGTGATTCGCCGAACAATTCAGAGCAACCTGCATCTGATCCGCCTGATCATAGAGGAAGCCGAACTGATCAATTTCGATAAGACCAAGGCGTTCGCCTGGGTCGACCATCAATTCAAAGCGGCTGTCCTTCAGACCACTGGATTCAAATCCGACTTCTGCAAATGGATCAGCCTGTTGTACTGCTCCCCCCAATACGGTAGTACAGGTGAACGGGAAGCAGTCGAGCACTTTTGCACTGTCACGGTCGGTTCGTCAAAGTTGTCGGCTGTCACCCATACTTTACGCTTTGGCTTTGGAGCCTCTCCTGTGCTGTGTGTGTGTGTGTGTGTGTGTGTGTGTGTGTGTGTGTGTGTGTGTGTGTGTGTGTGTGTGTGTGTGTGTGTGTGTGTGTGTGTGTGTTTTAGCATTGATCCGAATTTGTTAAATACCCATTTGATCATGTACCGCCCATGATGAAACCTGCGCACACGCGCACACACACACACACACACACACACTATATATATATATATATATATATATATATATATATATATATATATAATAGTCTCTCCTATCTGCATATAGCTGTGTGGCAATTATATATATTTCGTCGCTAAATTATTTAACGAAAAGTAAAAATCACTAATTTAATCTTTACAAGTCGAAGAACAAAAGTGTCATTTACTTATCAAAATGAAATTGCTGCATTGATCAATTTCATAATATATTTAATGAGTAAATAATAATCATAATAAAATATTATTATTCAGAAACAAATATTATGTAAGTCGTTATAATGAATCATTTGATTGATTTTCTCTTGTGTTTATTACAACAGATCTGAATTGATTCAAGTGTTGCTACGGGAACAAGATTACGATAAACGTCTTCCACCAAACTTTGACAAAGGTAATTCCAAGTGTGTTTGAAATTTTAGATTTGATTGTTAAAAAAAGAAAAAGAAAAAGATACAATACAGTCCCTTGCATAAGTATACAACTCCCACCCCCGCGTATACTTTTCCAAGTTTGGTCACGTTACAACCACAAATTTAAATGTATTTTATTGGAGTTTTATGTAATGGACCAATTCTAAATAGTGCATATTTTTTAAATGCGTGGCGGAGTGAGGGATATTACATGTTTTTCAAAATTATTTACAAATAAAAATCTGAAAAGTGTTGACTGCATATGTATTCATCACTTTACTGTGACCCCCCCCCCCAGTAAAATCCAGGGGGCCTTTTCGACGTGGTGTAATTAATGGTTAGCAAGCTTGTCTTGCGAGATCAATTACTACGATACTCACAAAGTGCTCTATACTTCCGTCCTTGTGCCACATCTAAGCTACGTTCAGTAAATTGCTAAGTAAAATCTACTGCATTCGATTTCATAATTGATAAATAAAGTACATTTGATTATGACGGATCTCTTTGGAGTAAAGTAAAGAATAGACATAGAGTTACGATACTTGATTCTGCACTCTCGAGTTAAATATACTGGTTTACTGAAGGCCTCAGAAGTTTGTAAGAGAACATTATCGAACAAACAGCACCATGAAGACCTATGAATTCAATAGAGTGAGATAAAATTGTGGAAGCAGAGTCAGGTTTAAAAATAAAATATCCAATGTTTTGAACATCTCACGAAGTCTTATTAAATTCGTCATCTGAAAATGGAAAGAGTATGGCACAACTCCAGACCTACCAAGAAAAGGTTAATCTAAACTGACTGGTCAGGTAAGGAGAAGCAACAAAAGGGCCCATAGTAAATCTGGAGGAGCTGCAACGACCCAAATCATATGGCGGGAGAATCTGGCTACAGGACAGTTATTAGTCGTGCAGTCCACAAATCTGGCCTTTACGGAAGAACAAGAAGAAAGTCATTGTTGGAAGAAAACGAACTAGAATTTCCATTTGCGATTTGTCACAATCCACGTGGGAGACCGTAAAAATGTGAAAGAAGATCTGACCAAAGCAAATAAAACCAAAATTGAACTTTTTGACGTTAATGTAAAACTAACACAGCACATCAACAGGAGCACACCATCCTCACTATGAAACATTGTGGTGATAGCAACTTGCTATGGGGGTGTTTTTCTTCTGCATTGAGAGGGAAGCTGGTCAGATTGAAGGGGAGATGGATGGAGTCATATAAAGGGCAATCTTTGAAGAAAACCTGTTTGCAAAAGACATGAAACTGAGGCAGAGGTTCACTTTCTGGCAGGACAACGACCCTAAAAATACAGACAGAACTATATATATATATATATATATATATATATATATATATATATATATATATATATATTGGTTTAGATCAACGCATATTAATGCCAGAATAGCGTAATTAAAACCCAGGCTTAAATCCAATTGGGAATATGAATCGCAGGTCACATGAATCATTTAAGACTACGTTATGAACGACATGGAAATCGTGCCTGAAATGTTCGTTTGAGAGTTGAGTTCTCGATTACCAGTTGACAACCATCCATCATATATAGTAAACATGTTACCAGAATCTTCGTGATCACAATTTTGACCTGTAAAATAATAAATATAATTTACTCAGACAAAGATGCATTGAAAATGACATTCTATAAGCCCCTACGATAGTGTCAGGTTCATCCTCTGTTCTTACAAAATTAATACTGGAATGATGTGGGATACGTAGACCTTAAAATAAATGACGCTATAAATAAAAACCCGTGGAAATTCATTAATATCTAATTCCTAAATCATCAAATCTAAAATTGTTTCCACTTGAAGATATACTTCAGATCAGTATAATTTTATTTTTCAAAAGAAAATTTCTGAAACGATACAGTTTGTCAAATTCAAGCGTTCATACATACGTATATATATATATATATATATATATATATATATATATATATATATATATATTTACTCGCAGCAGTTATTACAAATACACAGAATCCGCCAAAAATGTATACACACTTCAGGAAAGAAAAAAAAACTTGTCTTTCGTAGTCTTATCAAATTACGATGACACTTCCATATACTAACTTTTTATGGAAATAATGAATTTTTCTTTCAACAAGACGGTGCACCGTCATACTACCAGCACGACGTGCGAACATATCTGAATGAGAATTTGCAAGGACACTGGGTAGGACGAAGGTGCTGTCGAGTTCCCATCACCCTCACCACATTCTCCTGATTTAACACCTGCTGAATTTTACATATGCGGGACCCTAAATGATGTTAGGTGTCGCAGAAAACTGACTACATTGGTGGCTCTTAGACAAGAAATTGAAAATGCATGTGCAGCAATTCCATTGGACACTTTGGCCAATGTTGCCCAAGCAATAGTTCGCCGTACTTTAATAAATGTCTGGAAGCTAACGACCACCATTTTGAGCATCTTTTCTGGTTGTAAATCCAAAGGTAACTTGTATTAATCTCGTGATGTCTGAATAAATTTAGTATTAAAATTTCTATACAAGTTTTTCTTTTCCTGAAGTCTGTATACATTTTTTAGCGGACTCTGTATGAGCGACCAAATGTAAAGGAACTTTTATTTCCTGAAACAGATAAAAATGCTATTATTGTTAAATATTCAAAACGAAGTTTCCCTAACTTTTTTCCGAGTGTTTGAAAATATTTCAACTTTATAGAAATATAATTTTTATTTTTATTCATTTACGCAGATCTTCCTACGAATGTCATCGTTTCTTTGGATTTTAATTCTTTCGATTCAATTGATGAAATGAATATGGTAAGTGCTTTCTGTTTAATTTCCCCAATACTGTAAAGCTTTCATCATCACACTTTTAATTCAAGCATATGTTTGATGTGGCTGATATTTTCAATTCATTAAAACTACTTAAGTTGAATGTCGCATGCATTGTAAGAAAACCTTGCACCAAATACTGTCCCGCAGTTGGAATTATTTGTCAACATTGCATTTATAGCAACTTTATTCGTTGTCAGAATTGATTCCGTAAATAAACTTCCAAGAATTATAGCAAAATCTAAAACTCCACATTTGTTTGCTTATATTTTTTTTTGCAGCAAAGTTTTTATCGGTACGTGTGCGTAAATTGATTATCTATCTGTATAGCGAACAGCCTTAATTGAATGGTACGCAGAAAATAACATACATGCTTTAGTAAATAATCTCACAGTTTATAGGTGAAAACAAGTACAAGCGAATTGATTTAGAGAATCTGTCTTTCAACTTTTCTCTTTCTGGGTAAAGGGAATCGCTTTTAAACATTTATGTCGATGAGCTTTTTTGACTTTTTTGACTACGACTTTATGCAAAATTTCGTATTTATTTTAAGGAGATAAAAACTCGAAGGTTTCTATGAATGTGTGTTCATATGCATATAAATGAATGGTCAATAATACTTATACGCTTATTTCAGTCACACGCACACAAACGTGGCAGTTGTTTTAATATAGTACATGTGAAATATATATGTTAACATAAAAGCTAAAAATAGTAAAAAGTAAAATAGAATAATAAAAAGGGCGAATATTGCTTTATTAGCACATATTTTGGGGGATAAATATTGCCATGATTCTATCTCGAGAAAGACAAGTCTTTTGCAACAGTCTCGCACTTAGCGGCATGTAAGACATTTTTTTGGAAAAAAATGTCTTACAAAAGTACTTGTGTGAATCCCTTCCGTAAGCCAATGTGCCATTTTATACACTTAGCGTTTTTCGACATGTTTCTAACAGAAATCTTCCTATCAACTCAACTTTATTCTTATTTTATTAATTCTATTCTTGTTCTTTCTAATGAATTTTCCACTCGGTTTATAATCTTGATTTTTGGCAGGAGTTTGGCGTGAATCTCGTTGTGGAACAGGAATGGATTGACCATCGTTTATTATTCTACAATCTGATTGATACAGAAGTGTTGGAGTTGGATGCGAAAATGATGGATGAATTGTGGGTGCCAGATATTTATGTTTCCAATGAGAAAGTGGCTACTTTCCATACTGTCACCGTCCCAAACAAAATGATGCATCTCTACAAAGACGGAAAGATTATTTATCGAAATAGGTAAGGCAATTTGGATTATAAACCAATTCCTTTTTAACAATGCTACGTTGTCAGTGAATATATATTTTAAGCAATAATTTTGGGTTAACTTCAAGAATGTTTGAGCACCTCCATTCACTCCAGCCTATTGCGTTACCATATGCTTGGCTGCAAAAGTCATTGATGAAAATTTTGTCTTTCAATTTTTTTCAAAATTTTATTTACCAAACTGATTTTGCATTATTTGAAAAAAATCCTTACATTCCGCCTTCATTCTTAATTTTTTTTATTATCATCAAAATAAATGAAACGCAGAATTTTGGAAAACTAATCTTCATGGGTCATATCTTGAATCCATCGTGGTGCTAAAAGATTTTGCATCTTTAATTCCATAAAATTATTTTTCTTGCCAATTTCATTTTGACTTCTGTTGGACAAGTCGGTGACACACTTTACTCTCCATTTCTCTCCTTGGAAGCGTTCTACTAAGATTACGTCATACGTGATAAAAAGTCTAATTGTTGCTAAAACATTCTACTGTTTCACTGATTAATTCCTCTGGTTCCGATAAACAGATATTTTTTTTTTTTTTTGATACCCACAAAAGGCCAGATTCTGCTTTGCCATAAATTATATAATATCGACAATTCCGTTTAGCTTTGCATTTTGTTTCCCAGATGTTTGCATATGAAGATCAGCCATATATCATAGTTGAATTACGTGATACAGGTATTCCCTCAGGTAAGCTCTATGAGAAGAGGGGGGTGGGGGTCTCAGTATAACCCGCTTTCCCCACATTGCGGCGCTGCACTCTCTCGCTTCGTCGACCTGTCGTTCCCTGCCCAAGCGTGTACCAAAAACAGATTCTTGTTGTGTGTGTGCGCGCGCGCCTTCATAGCTATCGTATGTAACCAGATTCTATAGTGATTCCGTCCAGTGGTCGTTGTGATTTTGTAAAGATTCCAGGTGTGTGATGCTTGCAGCCTTGGTAACTTCTTTATTGAAAAACAATTTCAAATACAAATCAACAAACTCTGATAATTAACAATGGGTTTAATGAAAACAAATTAAAGAATTTAAAAGTACATAAGGAATAAAGAATTATTAATCTTTCTATATAACCTGGTTGACTTAAGAAAATTATTTTAGTAGCAATTCGTAGTAGTTTGTGAGACCTTTGAATTTATTGGAGTCAGAAACCTAAAGAGAAGGAAAGATTAAAACCGAATTTTGTCTATTTTGTCATTTAGTCTTTCCGGTGGTTTCTGGGCCCACTCTGCCTTTTGGTTGAGTTTATATAAAAAATTATCTCGAACCTCTGACATTGATTTATTGAATGTCTTTTGATAAGATATTCATGACATTTTTGTCTAAAAAGTCAGATAGCCTCTACTAATAAATTTGTTAAGATATAAACCTTTGTGAAGTTTGACAGTATTTTAAATAAACATAGCAGGGATTCTTCTTTGGAATTTGGGAAGATTTAGAAAACCATAAATATTAGTACATTGCTCCGGAGATTACTGGGTAAGATCTAGTCTTACTAAATGTTAATGAATTCTATTTGGTCTATTTCAGATTCGAATCTTCCCTAGAGCCTTTTCCAAACTCATTTTATGGCTACTTCTGTTTTCTGCTCAGCGCTTAGTTTCTGAGTTTGATTTTCTTTTTCAGTTTTAATCTTAATTATTTTCCGCTTCAAATCGTCCTTTGGCATCTCCTGCATTAAAAATGATGAACCAGAGTTAACATCCTGTTCTATTCTTTCATGCAGTAAAACGAGATTACCACTCTGTTATATCAACACTAATCTAGTGTAGATGACAATTTCAAACTTCAAAAACTAAATTCTTATTCCACTCTTTATTCAATGCACCTGTTGCGGAATCTATGCTGAGTAAAATGTATCAGAAGGTGATTTTTTGTGAAGGCCAAGAATGCGTCGTCGTTAAGTTGCTCATCCGCCAAGGTGTCGAAGTTTAATGCTGCAGGTGGAACTGTGTTAAGGGTCGTGCGAAACAAAGCATCGGCTACTGCGTTGCTGGTGCCGCTAAAGTAACGAATTGCGCTATGTAGTCCAGGTAGCGGATATCACGCGGATTATGTTTTTCGGACTTTGCATCTTGCGTAAGAGTTGGGAAGGTTTATTGTTCCCCAGGGTTACGTTGGAGGTCTTTAATTTTGCGTTCTTCCGAACAACCTGTTCGTTGGAGTATAGCCTGTTTAAGCACCTCGTAAGGTTTATCTGGTGGGAGCTCTTTAAGGATGTCCTCTACCTCCGACACCACGTCGGCAGGTAGCTTCTCCACCACAAATGCTAATTTGAATTGTTGTGAAGTAATGCGCCTCGCTTGGAAAATTGCATCAAGTTGGACGAACCACTTTTGCGCGTTGGTACTATACGTTGGAAGTTCTATCTTGAATGCAGCTTCAGTTGGTGGCACGGGTTCAGTCATATTGATTCGGTTCTTTTTTGGAGGGAAAAAAACTGAATTTGGCGCCTTTTTAATGGGTAAACAGTAGCAGGTTATGTGATGAGTGATGGTCGTTGTCAGCGCTGCTAAATTCGTTAATGATGTGTAGTGTGACAGTTTTTATCAAAAACGTTGGAGTTATCAATTTTTTTGTTGAAATGTCAGGTTTACCAAAAAGTTTTTAGTTGGAACGTCGGAGTCACCAATTTTGTTGCGGAATCTGTGCTGAATAAAATGTATCAGAAGGTGATTTTTTGTGAAGGCCAAGAATGTGCGTGATCGTAATGCATTTATCCACAACAAATAAATCGAACAAAAAATAAATAGACAATTCAACTTCAAGAAATTACTGAAAACAACGTCATTAGAGATTTCAATAATAACGTGAATTTATATATATATTTGACATACACAAAGTTGCTTGTTAAATGTGGCAAGTGAGATAAGGTTACAATGATTGTCCATGCAGAAATTTAGTGAATAAAGGTTGATAGTTTAAGTTTGTGGAATTAAAATAGTTTGATATCTGCAAGGAAATTTGTCAATTGTGTAAGTTCAAGTGATAGTGTGTATGTGTGTGACAACTGCTAGTGTTGATTTAAGTTATGAAGAGTTGTTCGCCTTTAACTGCTAGGCTAAAGTTGATTGCATGTACAATTACTGTTTTGTAGTGATAATGTCACTTTTTTAGTAAATTGTAAGTTAAGTTTCTTCACGCGGCAATAGTTGTGCGAGTTGTGATGAGTTGTTGAGAGGTTGGTAGGGGTTATTGAGTCAGTGTGTTGGCACGCGTTGGGTCTGCTGGTATATCTCGAAACTCAGTGTCTGACTAACTTGAATTATGTCGAGCGATTCCTTTTTATAGATTTTCGAGTTTCCAAATAGGCTCCAGGGACCTGCGCGAGAAAGAGGTTTGTCTCAACTTTGCTACATTTTAGTGTTCTTTTAACCAATGGGGCATTGAGTTTGGAAAAATAAAGTGATGATTGGTTAAAAGTTTATTTGGGGAAGAGTACATCTTCCCGTAGTGGGTGACAGGCAAATGTGGAGGATTCCATACACCCTCTAACCACACTTTATGCACGCTTCTGTTTCAAATGAAATAGGTTCTACACACGAAATATAAGAGGTTACCTCAATGTTAATCAAAATAATTTATCTGACGTGTCTTTGCTATTTTTCTTAATTTCCACTGTGTTACGAACTTCCAGAGTGAAAACTTCTGTAAGTTCTTTTTAAGGGGTTCTGACATAAGAATAAGTCACCTTTACAAAACCAGTTGAAAGTCTGGTCTGTCGTTTCGCCCTGTTGCATTTGTACCTTGTATTACTGACGATACCACGTAAACAATGATTTTGTAAGATGTGTTGCAGACCCTCAAGGGGGTGGGGAGATGTAACCAGTGCGCCTTGATTAAATTAAAGTAGGTCCACAATAATTTAAAAGGAAAAATAAAACATTAACAGGTTAATGAACAACGACAACAATAACGAGGATTTTAAATTAATATTGTAAGAATTTTTTTATACTAAAATAAAATTTAATCACATAAATTGAATGCAGGATGTTGTTAATATTCCGATTGAATCAAACGTAATTAAAAAATGGCAACTCAGAAAAAGTGAACAAAGGTCCATTACGGAACAAGGTTAACACAAAATTCAAGTAACAAATAACATGAAATAGGGTTCCTGAAAGAAATTTTACAATAAAATTTATACACTTCACAAAGATCCTTAGAATCAATTGAAGAGTGAATGTATCATGTACAAGAAAAGTTCATGAAAATTTCATGTTCGGAAACCGAACGTAGTAAAAATGTTCATGTGTTAAGTTCATATATGGAACAAAAGAGTATACGAATCAAATTGGTAGTAGATAAAGTTCATGTACAGAAGAGTACAAAATAGATCGTATAAACCACCAGATTTGTATTGCTTACACCGAAAGATAATGTAAAAACGCTTGATGTAAAAACGAAGGATACTGACAGATTTTAATGAGTAAGTTGATATGCGCCTAATTCGACGAGAAGAGTCGATATTTGAATTAAAGTCAGTAGAGTTCTCTGACAAATCAAGGGTTGACTAGAAATAAAACATTGTTCCATAGGGAACACTGTTGACGTAGTTAGTCTATTGTCGTGTGGTTGCTGGTGGTTAAATAATCAGATATTATCTAAGTCACCTTTGAAATAAAATTGGCGGAAATTCATAGAAAGTGTTGATTAGCTGTTGAAAAAGACTGGGCTGATGTCAGGACGGAAAACTGTCCGTAAAAATTAACCAAATATTACAGTACAAGTTGTTTGACGTCAGGACGAATAGCTGGCCGCAAGAATTAACCAATGTTATGACAGAAGATGATTGTCATCAGTATGAAATATGGCATTCGATACGTTTTGAAATAGAAACGCCGGAATTGTCTGTTGAAATTTCTCAGGATATAGTTTCCTTCCAAACTTTTTGTTTAAGGTAGTGTGAAAAGTTAACGTCTTGATCAGGGCCGGTGCATACTACCCCGAATCCCCCGACAGCTCTATGAGCC